TCGATTGTGGGTACTGTACATACCCATCGCCTGGGCTTGCTCTTGCAAAGACGGTCTGCCACGCATATAGTATTGGCTAGATTTCTATGGAAGCGCCTTTTACACCCTAGGAAAAGTCTATAGTTGCTAGATGAGATGTTCTTTGTTTAAACAAAATAATGTACATTTCTCTATTCTAAAAACAATTGCTGCTATCTAAAATTGTTACTTAAACATCTATTATCCATGCTGGAATCCTCTCAAACATTCCCTGTTGCCAAGGTCTCCGTCTTCGCTGGCCACTTCACCCTCCTCTCCGTGCGAACATAGAGGTTATTAGGCCGAATCAACTGGAACATAGGATCATACTCGATGGGCTCATTGCCCTCCCGAATGAACTTATACCGGAAGATGAGTTTCGGGATGAAAACCTTGATTTCCTGCAAAGCAAAGTTGAACCCAATGCACATGCGCGGGCCCATGGCGAATGGGATATACGCAGCCTTATGTCTGCCTTTGACCTCATCGGTGTCCCAGCGGTCAGGGTTAAACTGATTGGGATTATCCCATAGATCTGGGTTGTTGTGGATGTGGTGTAGCGCCGGAAGAATAACCGAGTCTTTAGGGATCTTGTACCCTCCCGGAAGCACGAGATCAACTTTGGCGGTTCGTCCCGGTTGGAAACTTGGGTTGTGGCGACGCTGAGTCTCCTTGATGTATTTATCGAGGAAATCGAGTTTGTCGGTGACATCCGCCGTCATCACAGTGTTCTCGTCGATGTCGTTGTCGATGAGTTCTTGGAGTAGCCTCTCCTGCATACCTGGATAGGTAACAAGACCATAGATGAGCCAGGACAGAAGGGAGCTGGTGGTTGTAAAGCCGGCTCCGGTTGCGACGACGAGAGCCCAAATCAAGCTTGACTCGGGTAGTTTCTCGCCTTTGTTGTCGGTTGCGCGGATGGCGTAATCTAAAACGTTTCATTAGCATCCGCAGATATAAGAGGCAGATTGGGTGGTGTGTTGCAGGCACTTACCGATCATGTTAGACGCCTTCAGCGCTGCATCTTGCAGTGGTAGGTCTTCAATACCACCACGTGCAGCTTGTTGAATTGTTTCCCCCACAATATGTTCAACTCTGGCTTTGATGTCTCTAAGTCGCTTTGGATCACCGAATGGCAGTTTACCATACCAATCTCCCTTGGACGAGACTTTCTTATTGAGAGAAAGAACTCCAGCAATCAAATGCACCATCTCGTGCATCTTTGCGTCCCGATTCGAGAAATGTTGGAAATCCAAGCCAAGCGTGAGCTTGCCAACTGCTTGGGATCCAAGCTTCAGCATGTATTGGTAAACATTCCAGGCCTCGCCCTGCTCATCAAATTCGTCAAAGACCTTGAACGAATCCTCAACTGTCTTCTGCATTGTCGGCGCATAATGACGAACAGCCTTAGGGCCGAGAGCTGGCGGCAAAAACTTGTGAGCAACCTTCCACTCAGGAGTATCGGTATCTCCTAGGAAAACACCAGCCTCAGGCTGCTTGAGGGGATAGAGTGGATGAGCCTCGTTGATTTTTTTGTGTAAAAAGTCGGACTCCGCAAAGACGATCGCGGAGATAGCTGGGTCATTTGTTTGATAGGTTGTGCGGCCTAGACTGGTTGTCTTAATCACCGGTCCGTATTGTTCGAAGAGACGCTGGTGGTTGCCAAGGTGATCTGGGTAGACTTCGAAGAAATTTCCCACATAAGGGAGACCCTTCGGGCCTGGAGGATCACGGACTGCGTTCCCATCGATGGTGATAGCGATAGGAGTATCGGCTGAAGTGATTTCGGCGACCTCGTTCAGGTGGAGGTCTTGAGCTTGGAAATCGATACCTATAACACACAAAGTTAATCATTAATATCTTAGATTAGGAGAACGAACCACTTCAAACATACCACTTGGCTCAACGATTGCGAAGTGAGCTGCAATCAAGTCCTTGAGTCCACCCAAATCACTTTTAGGGTCGACATCGATGTTCCTGGCGGAGGAGATTGACTCTCCAAGGAGGTAAAATTGCTTTGCAGGCATTGTAATTGAGTGTTTGTGATTCTGACCAGTTCAATCCAGGAGCCCAAACTTATATATCGATTGTACAATGGTCATCAACAAAAATCCCGGCCGTTTCATAGTTCGGGAGCCCGTTTCCTCGGGTTGTGGGTCAACATGCACTTTTCCGATTGGCTTAGGTATACCTCGGATGGACATCCAAGCATATTCCTCATACCTCGGAAGGGCATATTTCTTCGGTGATCTTCAAGATAGCAGGATTTTCAATAGACGAGACATCATTCATCTTCGGAAATTATGTACAATATACGTATCTATGTAGATCTCCACTGTGGATCTAAGCAGAATTTTCGGATTCAGGAGGATTTGAACACATCTCCTCCTATTGGCGTATTAATTAATTCAAGTATTTGGCCGCATATCCGGCATGTATCCTTAACGACATAGAACTTTAATGATCTGATTTATTTGGTTCGAGATGACGTAAAGGACGTTATATTTAAATATCACTCCGATGTCATCTTGGATGTTCTTTTTATAGAACTTTTGAAATTCTTTTTTGGATTTTGTCTTATCACTATTGAATAGTGAATAATAGAACAAGTAGAGATCAGGCTTATTGCCTCACAATACAATGCGGTAAAAACCATAACACGTATAGAGAGCATTTTTTTTGTATAACAAATGGCTAAAGATATGGAGCATGAATATATAACTAGATGTAGAATAAATTGGGAGCTATATAAATACATTGGAATGGAAATTTTCTGAAATAAATGCATTGAATTAACAAACAGCTCTAATATACAGCACAATCTATAGACACAGAACAAGGAGAGAGTATATAATCGGAAACACTCTAGAAGCAGAAGATCTGGTCACTCATCTTTCCGACAGCGCCAGGAGCTTCAAAGCCTGCAGCCACCAAAGCCTTCTTCGAAGCATTCACCATGCCCGGCGGCCCACAGAGCATGATCTTTGTATCAGGTGCTGGCCCAGGCAATCTTGCAGCCATGACATCTGGTGTAACATAACCTTTGCCATAAGCCCAATTGTCAGAAGGGTGATCAAGCATATACCAGAGCTTGAAGTTCTTCGGATATCCTCGTGCAAAAGCCTCTAACTCGCGACGGAGAAGAATATCTTCTTCGCTTCGGTTGGCGTAGATAAGGCTGACTTCGGTCGTATCCCGATCATCCTCGCAAATAGCCCGGATGAGTTGGTACATAGGGGTGATTCCGGTTCCACCGGCGATCATACCGATTTTCTTGCAAAGGCCGCTGTGATATTTCATTCCACCTTTCGGGCCTCGGAATTCCACCTTGTCGCCAACTTCCAAAGACTCGAGGTACTGTCCGGTGAGAATACCATCTGGGTAGCATTTGATGACTAGCTCCAGTTTTCCAAGATCCAGGTTATTGGATGTCGGGGTATAGGATCTCGAGACAGAAGCACCGTTGACCATAGCCTTGATAGCAACATGCTGTCCGATCGGGAGTCCAATTACGCCCTTTGGATCGGGCAGTTGGAAGACGAAGCGGTACACATTGGGCGATAATTGAACCTTCTCAACGAGGGGAAGCTTTTTGTAGTTCTTGGGCTCGAGGAAGCCCTTCACAAGATGTGGGTCCTGCTTCTTCAATGCCGAAGCTTTCTTGTACGGACGGTACTTTGTGAAACCCGAGTCAATTTCGGTGAACTTTGAGAGTTTGACTCCTATGGCACCGCCAATCGACGCGCATGCCAGAGTGGCGGCAGTGACTCCGCTCAAAAATCCACCCTGCAGAAGGCTTGCGAATGGAATGCGAGCCTCGGAGATTTGTAGGGAGGCAGGGGAGTGTTTTGCGAAGAAGTCGGTCAGGGCTCGCTGGTTCTTGGAAGAGACGTAAACCAGTGCAGAAGCAGCAAGTGTGGCAGTAATTGTAGTCGCAGCTTTGAGGGCCAGGGATGAGCTCTTGGGTGTCTCTGTACCGGAAGAGGTTTGCTTGATTACACGAACGACCTTGGGTTGAACAAATTCATGTGCATCTTTGACAGTACCGATTAAGTATGTCTCCAAAATTTCGCTTGCATCCTCTGAGTGGCCGACATCCTCATATGCAGCTGTTGCATCTGTGCCGGCGACATCTAGCAACACATCCGCACCACCGGGATGGTCTCGCACATAATCTGTGATGTCGTATACTGGGCATGTCAGAAGATTGAACAAGATAGTTTGGGAAGGGAAAGATTACCTTTTCCATGAATGATGACAAAAAGATCGTTTTTCGTCTTGTGAGCTGCCACTTCGCTCGCATCGAATTCTTTCAAAGATGCCATTGTGTATGGAATATGCAATATCAATGACGGTGTATTTTTTTTTTAGCGCGACACTGAACTCGAGACAAATGCTTTATAGTTTTAAAGACTAAATGCGCTATTTATCTTTTCTATCCTATAAAGATTTTCTGATTAACATTCAACTCCTAACAGGGGAATATGCTTCCCGAGGTACACTACCTCGGCATTGAGCTCCGCAGTATCCATAGTGTCCATAGTAGAGTGGGCCCAAAGAAATCCTCGGAAGATCGTCTAGCCCAGATCAAGCATTTGCCCCCTGGTACCCTAGTAGCGCCTCCAAACTGTAGTCCCACATCAGCTCAAATCATTGAATTTGCCGTGAATCTCAAATGGCCCCTTTGATAAAGAACTCCCTCATTCGTCCCAGTTCCACGGTCCGGGATGGAGTTTCCGAGGAATGAACCAGGATAGAGGATTCTCGGTATTGTCTTTGTTGATAGGGGTGACGAACTGCCTTGATCTTCCTTGTGGGTTGAGTTGTGGATAGCAGACTTCCGAGGGTTGTACGGAATAGCAATGATAATGGCAGGCAATGGGACAATGGGACATAAAAGGAACTCCCCGCCGCTGTGATTGAACCAATACACCACCAACCAGACTGCTTTACACTTAATTACAAACTACTTGCTTTACAACATGTCATCGCACTGGCAACCTCCGCAAAACTACCGCAGCCGCCCTGTTGCCATCCTTGGCGCAGGTGTACTCGGCCGCCGAGTAGGTCTGTATTCCGTCCAGCGTGTTATTCAAAAGATCGAAGTATTGACAAAATTCTGGTATTAGGGTGTATCTGGGCTTCAGCCGGCTTCGACGTTAAGATTCGAGACCCCAGTGCGCAACAGCGAGCAGACGGAATTGCATACATTGAAGAAAATGTTCAATCATACTCGGCCAAGACCAACCAAGTCCCCGGATCGTTCGAAGCTGTCGAAGATATGAAACACGCCGTTGAGAATGCCTGGCTTGTCATTGAAGCTGTCCCCGAGAAGCTCGACCTCAAGATCGCCACTTTTGCTGAACTGGAGGCCCTCACTCCGGAGGACTGCATCCTAGCTTCCAATTCATCCTCATACAAGTCTTCCGAGATGATCAGTCAAATCTCGGATTCTACTAAGACCCGCGTTCTGAACATGCACTATTATATGCCGCCGGCGTGTATGATCGTGGAGCTTATGACTGATGGATACACTTCCCCGGAGATATTCCCTTTTATGGTTGAGCGCTGCAAGGAAGCTGCCACAAATCCGTATGTCGCAAGGAAGGAATCCACTGGGTTCATCTTCAATCGGTTGTGGGCTGCTGTGAAGCGGGAGGTCTTGACTATCCTGGCCGAGGGTGTTTCGATTCCCGAAGAGATTGATTCGATGTGGCTTGAACTGTTTGTCAAAGCAGGAACTCTTCCCTGCCGGACAATGGATAGTAAGATCCTCACTCGCCTTCCCTGATTCTGTGAGGATTCGTTAGCTGACATAACATTATCTAGATGTTGGCCTAGATACCGTTGCCTTCATTGAAGGCCATTACGTGGAGGAACGTGGACTCTCTCCCGAGAAGACCGTCAATTTTTTGAAGAGCAATTACCTGGACCATGGAAAGCTGGGCACAAAGTGCTCAAAGGGTGGCCTATACCCCCCCTAATGACCCAACTCCTGTCGAGGTCGCTTCAAAGAAGCCTGAAATTTTGGTGTTGGACCTCGGACTGTCAGCCGCCACACCCAGTATGACATCAGGAGAGATCCTCCGGGTTTCTGCAGACGGCAAGGTACAGAAGTCGATTCTTAAAGACCAATCATTGCCAGATGGACTCGCTGTGGATTCAGCCTCTGGCCGCATGTTCTGGACTTGCATGGGCGTTCCAGGAAAGTCCGACGGCGCCGTTTACTCCGCCAACGTAGATGGAACCGACATCAAAACAGTTGTTGCCCCAGGAACTCTGAATACACCAAAGCAACTGGCTATTGATTCCGTGGCGCAAACAGTGTACTTTTGTGACCGCGAAGGATGCCGAGTCTACCGTTGTGCCTTCGACGGTTCCGACCTGGAGGTTTTGATTGACAACACTGGACGTGATCTGACCCCAGCGGAACGTGTCTCCGACTGGTGCGTGGGAGTCGCTGTGAGCCCGAGTCAAGGTAAATTTTATTGGACCCAGAAAGGACCCTCGAAGGGTGGTGAAGGCCGAATCTTGTGCGCCAATATCACAACGCCTGAGGGTCAGTCAGCAAACGCTCGAGGTGATGTCCAGTGTGTTCTGGCTGATCTTCCTGAGCCAATTGATCTTGAGGTGGAAGAGGCTTCTCGCACACTTTACTGGACGGATCGTGGTGAAATCCCGTGGGGCAACTCGCTGAACAGAGCTAGATTGGGTGAAGATGGTCTTCCTCTATCAACCAATTCCCCGAGAGGATACGAGATCCTCACCAGGGGTTTGAATGAGGCAATTGGCTTGAAGTTGGATTCCATCAATTCTCATGTCTATCTCACCGACCTGGGCGGTTCTATCTACCGGTGCGACCTGGATGGCAACCACAAGGAGAAGGTTCTCTTCGAGGACCACCGGGCCTTTACTGGAATTACTCTCCTGTAGCCCTGAAATACTATAGAGGATATAGAGGATATAGAGGGTATAGAGGCTTTTGTATTTAAATAGAATATATTGTTTGAAGATTATTGTAAAAAATATGTTTTACACAGGGCTACGGATTTTGATGCCTCAGGCCAGAAAGATCCTTCAGGCATCTTGTGTAACAAGTCGCTATAGATATCTCTCTCATCTTTGTACTTCGTACTCTGTATCTTCCCTTCTTCTCCATGGTTCTATCCTTCTTATAGTGAATATAGCATTTTTCTCCTCCCCCCTTTAAATTCTAGCCATATTCCTTAAAATAATCTTACCTCGGAACCGTCGGGAGGGAGTGCCGTGCCTCGGCTACCTCGGATGACATCCAAGGTTATAATACTTGACGACACTCGGCGACCCGACCTTCTCGGCAGACCGAAACATTAATACTTGGCAGCTAGAATTATCATGTCTACACGCCGCTATCGATCGGCTGCTGCTTGTCAAAATTGCCGTCAGCGCAAAGTCCGCTGTAGCGTGACGGTGACCGGTATCCCGTGTATAGGGTGTACGCAAGATGCCCGAGAATGTACCGTTCCGCCGACAAAAACCCAAACGTGGGCTTTTCTTCCAAATTAATAGAAGCTTGTCGCTAACAGACATAGCATACGCGAGAGACATACACGTCGAACTGCGTCCGTCATTAGCAGCCCGCCTCACGCAGATTCTAATAGATTGATACAACATTCTTCACTTCCACTCGACACATTTCCGAATGCACCACCTCCGCATAATATAGACCGCTCTGAGCTGGCTGGTATGAGAAGTGTCTCTAATCCCCCGGATTATTCTCGGCGTCAGGATGAAGAGCGGACTGGCGTTGAAATCGCAACCAAAGTCCTCGGGAAAAGCAAAAAGACTGGCCAAGCACCATTCTACACTGGTCTGTAGTTTCCGTGCAAGTGTTGTTGCCTGAAGCTAACCCCAAACTGCAGGTGATTCGCCTGGGTTTGGTGCTGTCTTTGATATATGCTCGCCTTCAGACCAACCTACACCAAGACATATCCTACTCACTTCCAAAACGTCCGTTTCGTTATCCCCTGAGGATAAAGCGTACTTACACTACAAGGGTGTCTTCAATATGCCCCGAAAGGAAACCTGCGATGAACTTCTGCGGGCATACTTTCATCATGTGCATCCCATTATGCCGGTAATTGACGCTACAACGCTCCCACACCTATATCCCAGTGGAGATGGTCACCCATACAATCTAATATTACTATGGAGCATTTTCTTTGCTGCCGCAAATGTAAGATCCCATCTCCTCCGAGCTGAGCTGCAATCTAGCTAACGCGCATATAGTATCTTTCGACTGATACTTGCAAATCAGAGGGCTTTTCGTCCAGGAAAGAGATGAAGGAATCCATGTACTCTCGTGCAAAGGTGAGCAGGCTTGAAATTGATATATTCCCGAATCACCCTTGGCTAATGGCCTGTTCTTAGTGCCTGCATCATAATGGGGGTGAGACAGACCACGCAGTTCTCCTTCAATCGGCACTTCTTTTGGGATTTTACCACTCTGAAGCTGATACCTACACCCAACCGTGGTTTTGGCTTGGTATCGCCATTAGCCTTTGCCAAACAATGGGTTTGCATCGTTTCTCTGCTGGGGCCTGCGCAAATTCACCTATCCCTGAACCACAAAAGCGTCTTTGGCGCCGCCTTTGGTGGACCTGTTTCTTTCGAGACCGTTGGCTAAGTCTCACAATGGGTCGTCCACTGAGAATCAACATGAATGACTGTAATACCGTACCGCCATCTCCAGACGATATGCTGAGTGATTTTGTCGGATTACCCGAAGCCATATCGGCAGCATATGTCCCTAGCGACCTACCACAGCTAGCAGAATATTGGGTGACAATGATTCAACTCACTCAGCTTCTGGGAGACACTCTCACCCTGTGCTACCAACCATTTGGAACCAGTGGGTCTTTCCAGCAGGTTAAAGCCCTTGAGAAACATATTTTACGCTTTCAACTTCCCGAACCCCAGGAGACAGGACAAAGTCCACTAGCAACATTTTACTTGTATCATTTGCAGCTTCATTATCAGTAAGTGTTGACATTATATCTATCTATAACTGATGCTGACAGCCAAAAGAGCGTTCATAATCACCTTTTACCGTCCTTTCATCACAAAGGCCCCGGAAGGGCTGCCCGCATCCCGCCAGGACACATGGCAAACTCACGTCCGAAATCAGATCAATGTGGCTGCCTTACAGACCAATGCCATCCTTGATAATCTAGCAAACGAGAAGCTGTTGGGATTCTCGGCCCCTATGACGTGAGTGCGCAAATCCTCTACAAATGATATCTTCTCTGACAATCACTCTAGGCCACCGCTATTAGTCCCAGCAATGCACGTCCACCTCCTCAACTGCAAATCCCCCGATCCTGTTTCCCGACGTCTGGGTCTCAACAAAATTGAGGTGTGTATGATAGTCTTGGAGCAGATGCAACACACCCACCCTTGCTCTTCAGTCTTCCGAGGTATCTTTCTCGAAGCCATCCGTTACATTTTCCCAAACTATGTGGCCCAAACAGTTCTCCCTGAGGTGGCATCTGAGTCTTCTCCACTGCAAGAAGTTCCGACCGATGATCCTATGGCAGGAATAACAATTGGCGAAGATGCCATTGATGCGCTGATGGATGAAGTGTCGATTTTCAATTTTTGGGAGTCCCTCAACAACATGCAAACTTAGGCTTCTATAACTATACATTAGCAGATTTACACATCGAATTAAATGATAATGCATCCGCGAAACTAGCTGGTACAGAATAAAACAGAATGAATTACGATGTACCCAAATTACTATATCGTCATCTGCGGCCGCTTCTAACAGCATTTTGGTCATCTTCGGACTATTTCTGAAGCAAGCCTCTTGTAATGCAGTTCGGCCAGAACTGTTTGCAGCATTGGGATTGGCGCGGTGCTGTAGTAAAAGTTCCACGATTGCGATGTTACTTTTGTCGATTGCCCAATGTAGAGGGAAACGGCCGCTAGCCCATATCGTGTTAATCTGGGGACCATTACCAAGACGACCCCTGGTCAAGCTGTATTGGCGGATGTTTACATTGGCGCTGTATCTCAGAAATAGTTCGGTCATTTGAAGATTGCCAAGCTCGACCGCGAACGAAAGAGCAGTGCGTCCCGTCTCAGGGTCTTGAATCTCGACATCCACGCCTCGGGACACGACATCCACCAAATAGAGGTCAGCATGCCGCACGACATTAAAAGGCCTTTTAGCATGCTCGGGATCTCCCAATTTATTCGGTATTTTGGGCATGTATGATGTTATGGGCCCTTAACTACCTCATTGGTAAGTTGCTTGGTATACTGGACGAAAGCCGATCCAGCATTATCATCGAATTTGTGCTTGTTTTTCACGTTTTCTGCACCCTGGCCTTTATGTGCTAAAAGACCTATTTGGAGTGAAAGTTGCCTTGGCGATGTGAGACGATTGAGACGGTGCTGGCTGAGGATGTTCAATCATACAAAGTTAGAGAGGCCATAGCATGGGAAAATATTTCTTTCGTTGCTTGAAACCGCGTGATCATACGTATTATAGACTTCTTTTCTTGTAAAATACCACTTCATTCATCTAACATGATGGCGTCTTGAAGGCGGCTGATTCAGGCCCCCGCTAGTACATGCAATTCCGGATCCTTCTAATTTTTCCAGTCTTCCATGGGATACTGCAGGGTCTCCAGAGCTCGGTCCAGCTGGTCATCTTCTTTCACCACCTTGTCCACATTTGCCGATTTCAAAGCGGCACCAAGGGTTTTCAACGAGTGTCTGAACGCCTTCAATATCGCGTTGGAGAGCGCTGATTTCTTGAGGAGCATCTTTTATAGTTTGAACAAGCTCGTCCATAACCGAAGATGCCTTGAGAGTGCCATCAACAATTGCAATCACCGCAGATATTGTTCCAAGTGTTTCCGCCATTGTTAATGCTCGGCTTGGGAGTTTGATTTGATTTGATTCGAAGTAGTCTCTATGCTATCGGTCAGCCGAAAGTAATGGTGCCCAGAAAGTTACCCAACATGAAGGACATGGGGAACCTTAGCACAGTAGCTTCGGGAGTCAATGCGTTGTGAGACTCAGCCTCACGAGGGGACCAACGCTACCTTATCATGTGAGTACGCTAATACGTGAACAGTCATGATGATCACATAACATACAGTACAAAAGTTCTACCTGTAATACCACTGCTAATATATATACCTAAGTTCATTCTAGTAATAACATTCTATGGAGTAGATGGTATATATATATATAAATAACTAGTACTGAGTAATAACCAAGTTTGAAATGGTTCCTAGTAACCTTTAGATTTGACCACTAGTTCAAGCATGAACCCAATCACCTATGAGGTACGTCCATCGAGATTGTCACGTGAAGTCGACCTACTTGGTAACCACATATAAGCTATTAGCAGTCAATACAAAGTAAGGCCAAGCGAATCAGTGAAGTGATCTTAGGACTAAATAAGCTCAACTTTGGATAGGCCAGGGAAGTTGTGGCGTCACCATGGTTCCAAGGTTCATCCTCGCTATACAAAGATCAGCTGGAGATGGATTCGTAGTGAATCTGCCAATTATGGCAAGGCCTAAGGAGTTGCTGAAATATCTGAGCCCATAAGGTACATACTCATCCAACTGAGAGTGGAAGTGGTTCTAAATGTCTTGGAAGCAACAGGGGTACAATCGTGAATCGAAAATCTAGATAAGGAATAGTAAGAAGAGAAAGGGCCTTGAAGACCTTATGATATCAAATAAAGGCGTGGTATGTACATCAATACGCACAAAACTATCAGAGGCCAGAGAATACTAGATGAAGGGAGAAGGAAAAAAGAAATTCCAACCCCAAAGATGTTTCTACCGCAGGCAGCACCACGAAGAAACAAGTCCAACACCCATACACTCCCGTCAGATGATAAAACAATAACAGCTTTAACCAGATTCCGTTCCATTCAAATAAAGTCTTCGAATCCAAAGTTAGAAGTAATGACAACGGGAGTATCCCACATGTGAACGCTATTGAAACTCAGAAGACAAAACCCCAGATTGGTATTCCATTCATGCAACACAGGCGAAAATGACAGTCAAGATACATTTGCTGCTGGAGCAAGACGTGGAGCGTAGAAACACATAGGATTTATCACAGGAGCAGGAAGTGCACAAGATGCATAAAAGAGGAGGGTAGATGACTCTCGGGGTATTAAGGGGGGTGTTGACCAGTCATTTCAGAAAGAATTGCCCAAGGTAAGCGGTCATCGATTAGGCATGTGATTTGAACCAGATCCTGTAGAGATTCCTGACTGATGAGGGCGGTAATGTACCACATCAACAGGCTTAGACGGGAGGGATGGTGAGGTCTCCCGTTGGAGAGCGGTTGAAGGCTGGAACAAGCCTTGGCGAGTAGAAGGCGGAGAAAATATGTGATTGTGGGATGGGGCGTCGGTAACAGGAGAACGGTGTTCGAGGGCATGGGTGAGATGCGGCTGTGACTTCCGCACATCCAAGGGAGATGAACTCAGCGACCGGAACCCAGATTTGCGATGATCTGCATCATAATCTGGGTTGCGGAAGGGCCCCTTGCGTTTGATGCCTTGGATCATGCTCCATGCCATAAGGTGTATTGTTGGCTGATGAGTTGGCAGCAGAGGCATTCTCAGGAATGGTAGATGCAGATCCATTGGGCGCGTTGATGTCTACCATCCGCTTTTGAGCGGCTGGCGTTGCATATGATGAGGGTTGCGGGTGCTCAAATGTACGGCCTTGCTGTCGGGGTGGCTGCGACTGCTGTTGTTGCTGCTGCTGCTGATGGATGGGATGTTGTGGGTTTGCCCAGGGTGTTTGTTCTAGGAATGCTTCTTCAGCGGCCGAACGGAAGGCGTTAGAAGACATGGTAGACATGGTGGTCCGTGGAGGTAGTGTTGAGGAGTGCCGTGGTGCCGAGGCGCGAGATTCGATAGGAATCTATACCCTGCTGTCAGCAACTGATCAAATTTATGAATCTGAATATGACTTACCCCCATCTTTTCAAGATCGTCATCCAGTTCGGCGGGCCGTGCACCCATCAGAGACGGGGCAGCCGGGAAGCCAACATACTTGGCGACACCGGCCATAATTGAAACCTCCTGATTGTATGCGGTCTGATGTGCGATTTGCTGCGAGCGACGGGTGGGGAATGCGATGATGTGGTGCGGGCTAAGCTCGTCTGTCTTGAAGCGATCATGCTGAATGGCATAGAACTGCTTGCTGACTGCACTTGAATGCCGCTCGCGCGCATCTCGAATCCGCTGGTAGTATGTGCTATGGGCCTGTGTTCGCTCGGCCAGACCCTTGTGCATGAGTGACTTCATGCGGTATCGATACAAGTTTTGCTCGTATTTGATCTTAGCGTCCCGGTAACGTTGCACACACTCGATCTGCCGCAAGTATTCAGGATGCGTCGGGTTTGGACCGGTAAGCATCTCCAACTCGCGGTTAAGTTTGGATATCCGTTCGTCATAAATCCTATTATTGTGAGCAGCAAAGCATGTCAGAGACGGGGTGGTTTCTTACTTGTCACGTAACGTTGCAAATTCTTTCTCCAGTGTCGCTAGTGAATCCATAGCAGACATCTTTTTCACGGCTGTACAGGACGTCAGTGTCTGTGGCGCCCAAAGGGACCGTGAGCGGGAAGACTTACACTCTTCGGCTCGAAGAACCGCCTCCGCGCCATCGGGCTCATCTCCTCGTTCCGTAGTCTCCTCGTCTTCTCCAAGAATCTCATCAGCGACATACTCTATTGTGGCCTCGACTCCAGCTTCTGCCTCCTCATCGACGTCTTGGGTCCTTCTTCCTTTCCGCTTACCCTTTTTGCCCTTTTTGCCTTTGGAAGGCGGGGCTGGTAGGTCCGACTCAGGAACTTCGTCAACCAGTATGCCATCGTCATTGATATCCATGGGATTTTCAAGCGGCTCAGGCGACAGGGGGGTATCATCGTCGATCGGATCACTTAAATCACTCTTAATTGAGCTCCGGCGTTTCTTCATTGGCTCTTCGTCGCCCAACTCGGCGACAGTTTCGTGTTTTCGTTTCTTGTTGAGACTATCTGGAAGGTCGGAATCACCTAGGTCGCCCAGGTCTGGAATATCCTCGGTCAGGCCGTTGTTTTTTGAAGACCGTCGCGGTTTGCTGGGAGAATCGTCCGCCACAAGTGCTTCATCGTCGACATCATCGAGTGTTGTAGATTGATGAAGCTTGCTAGGGCTTGGTCCGGCACTGGCGGCACTCAACACGATGTCATGTTTCCGGATATTGTGTGGAGAATCCTCGATGCGCTCGGTTTCAGCCTCCGAATCATTCTCCATTGGCTTGTCTGATTTGATGGGATCTTCGAAGTCAGACGGCTCGTTGTCCGAGACGTCGTCGATCTCACTCAAACTACTTGAGCGTCCATCATCATCCATGAGGGGGTCATCAAGAAAAGGGTTCCGCTCCCCATTGGGGAATGTGGACTCTGCCCCCGTTGTTGGACCAACGGAGGCCTGTTCTCTGCTCTCGGCTACCTCCATGGGACAATTATGCAGCTAAAATAGCTGGCGCAACACAATGCGAGTGAGAACAAGAATGGTTGGGTGAGGGTATTGGGTTGTTGATTGCTTGCGGCAAGGTTGAGATTCGCCGCAGGCGTGAGGAGAGGGAGGAGGGTCACCGATCCGCCAGATGGTGTTTCGATCGAGAATCTGGAGAAACCACGGATCGAATTAGCTCAATTGCCATGTCAACTCGGCAAAACCAATGGGAGAAGGAGTGGGTGGGTAAAAAGTGGTTGGTGGGTGCGAGAGATAGGTCAGCGCCTCCAGAAGGCGGTGGTGCGGAGATTGATCATCGAACGCCCCCAGAGTCGGTAACAATCGCTCAGCGTAGGGACTGGAGGCCGCGCAAAGCAAATGTACCGATCACAGTAGTTCTAGAAGACACAGAGACACTCCCTTCTCGCGAAAAATAACCAGATGAAACTCTGGGGTTGATGTAGAACCTTAAGCGACGTACCGTTTCAACAATGCGCCGGGAGCGACGCCGGTTATGAGCACAGCTGCTCGCGACCGAGCACGATTCCCAAAACCACCGCGTTCCTGGAACGCAAGTTACGGCCTAGGTTCAAGCCCACGCGTATCACCACTATTGTAACCCGAAAAAGCTTTCGGTCCGACGAATCCTGCGCAGACCGACACTGGAGGACGAGGGGAGGATGGCTAGGAAGCGGACAAGACGAGCGTACCGAGTCGCAGGGGGGTTGACGGCATGAAGAAGTGGCCAGGGATCGTAATAAAGACCAAAACAATGATCAAGGATGGGAAATCACAGCCGAAAGAGGGGGTTTCAGCAGACAAAAGCAGCAGATCGCTCAGATGGGGTGCAGCAACAGAAGCGAGTGACCGCTGATTCTGCCGCGTTGCGTTCCGGCGAGGGCAACCTTCACCGCCCGAAGAAAAAAGCAAATCACGTGAGACTGTATCTGACGTAGTTGGAATGAGATGGGCCATCTTGTATAAGGATATGTTGTTATTGCACTTTTACGCCATAGAAGCATGGAAGGAATACAGAACAAAGGATATGCCCCCGGATATCACAATGTTAGACGGTGTATAAATGCATCATACACGACGCAATCCTAAACAATAACCCCCCAGCCTGGAATTCATAGCGAGTACTAGTTATATATAAGAAGAGTAAGTAATACAGAAAGCCTGCATAGGTGGGATTCATGCATATCTATTATATACAATGTGCGATGTACCTTACATGGTAACTAGGAACATCTACTCTCAAATTGTACCTACCTACATAGGTACTATCAGTCATGTGATAAGCAGCTTTCAATGCCAAGACCCGATAAGCAGAAACTAGAGGAAAAAAAAAAGTCGGAGCTATCATCGGTGCAAGTGTCAATCGCAACAACCCCACGTCTTGGTCGCTCACTTTTAGCCTATAATACAGACCAAACACATCAAAATGGGCAAAAAGTCAAAGTCTTCGTCCAAGACGGAGGAGAAGGCCAGCAAGTCCGCTAGCACTCTTCCCTTCGGTGGTGCATCTCTGGACCCGGCATTGTCCTCGCTTTTTGCGCAAAGTGTATGTTTGTTTCATGTGCAATTAATGAATTTTGAACTGACATTCTACAGGCTGGTCCTGTGCAAGCCCCCGTGATCAAATATGCTGAGCCCATCCAACGGGCGAAAAAGGACGAAGATGATGCTGCTGAAGAGGAGGAATCATCTGCATCAGGCGATGAAGTAATGGAGGACGCTTCCGAAGAAAGTGATTCTGAGGCTGCAAAGGAAGAAGAACAACCTACCGACATACAGAACCGGAAACGCAAGCGTGGCAGTGCGGGCGAGGAAGTCGAGGAGACATATATGCGTCGCATTGCAAAGGAGGAGGAGAAGGACGAGGAAAAGAGGAAGTCTGAGCAAGCTAAGCGCCAAAAGAAAACCGAAAAAGAAGGTAGCGAAGATGATGAAGAAGATGAGGAAGGCGAGGACTCCGATAAAGCCTCGACATCAGAATCTAGTGACGAGGAGGATACCGCTCCTGTACCTGTGCACGAGAGCTTGACTGGCTCCGCTAAGACCGACGAAATTGAGAAATCCAACCGCACTGTCTTCCTAGGCAACGTCTCTACCGAGGCTATCAGGTCTAAAACCGCCAAAAAGACACTTCTCAGGCACCTGGCCTCTTTCTGCTCGACGCTTCCTGAATCCACCGGCCCGCACAAGATCGAGTCGATCCGTTTCCGCTCTGTTGCATTCGCCAGCGGTGGTGGTATTCCCAAGCGTGCTTCCTTTGCGAAGCGCGAGATTCTTGATGAGACCACCCCCAGCACCAACGCATACGCTGTCTACACCACCCTCCTTGCTGCCCGCAAGGCCCCCGCCGCCTTGAACGGCTCCATTGTTTTGGACCGTCACTTGCGAGTTGATAGCCTTGCTCACCCGGCAGAAATTGACCACAAGCGCTGCGTCTTTGTCGGCAACCTGTCTTTCATTGATAGCGAGACCCCCGAAGAGGACGAGAAGACCGGCAAGAAGAAGAAGGCTCGTGCTCCTGCGGATATTGAGGAGGGTCTCTGGCGGATTTTCAATGCCCACACCGGAGGCAAGGACAAGAAGGCCATCAAGAAGAACGTCGAGTTCGTGCGCGTGATCCGTGACAGCACCACTCGTGTTGGTAAAGGATTTGCCTATGTCCAGTTCTACGATGGCAATGGTGTTGAGGAGTCTCTTCCGCTCAATGGAAAGAACTTCCCGCCCATGCTCCCCCGCAAGCTGCGTGTCACTCGGGCCCGCAAGGTCGCCAAGAAGCGCGAACCCTCTGGTCCTGAGACTAAGAAGTCTCGTGTCGACGAAGCCCAGAAGACGATGCAAGGACGTGCCAACAGACTCCTAGGCCGAGCAGGTGCGGCTAAGGTGAAGGCCGATGCCAACAGTACCATTGCCGGCAACTCTTTCGTGTTTGAGGGTCACCGCGCTACCGAGGGATCATCCTCCATCAAGATGAAGCAAAAGAGCCGTGGCTCGAAGGCCAAGCGAGAAAGTAGAAGCAGCAAGCGGGCTGCCGCATACAAAGCTGCGGGTGGCAGACGGGGCTGAAAATAAAAGAAGCCATATTGTATCTCTTATGGGCGTTAGGAAGGGCATTTGAATATATTGTACGAAGAACACAAAATTCGAGACCAGACATGCATATCTTGAGCATCTACATGTAGTAATTTCCAGCCCTGGAGATGTATGTACCGCGTATACCGGGTATTCCAGTAACGTAGTATAACTTGAGACATTGACGTCATTGTCAACAATCGACGTAGACGGTACCTCGACGATCGACTGATCAATCACATGTACATGTTCTCTTCCCACCATCCATTATTTACTCTCTTTAAATGTCACTCTACTTTGAAATTCTTTCGACAACCTTGGAAAGAATAGCTACAACGGTCCAAAATCAACCACTTCCAAGCCTCGTCCATATATTATGCGGGGGTGAGGTATACGAACGATTCGATAAGAACAAAAGCCAAAGCAGTAACTCCTGGGGCCGGGAAGTTCAGAGCGAAAAGAAAGTTCGTGCGGTTCGTATTTAACTGGTTGTATATGTGGTGGCGCCGTTGCCTAAGCCGAATCATCAACTTCACCGCAAAGCCCAACGGTGACGTCTATACGCGTCCAGGTGTCACGAACCCTTTTTTCAAGTCAGCACCTAAAAAGCCCCGTTACTACCATTATGTTGCCTTTCGGAGCTCGCCCGGGAAACCTGCGCCGGTCCCATGGCCGACCCTCTGCAAATACAAACAGCGCAGATTCTGATGGATCGGACGAGTGTATTCCAGATCCAGAACCTGAAGTGTTCAATCCCACCTTGGTGGATGTACTCAATGTTCGGCATTTATTGCAGTGGAAGCTCCCGCGCGGCCTTCCTGAGGAGCTCATCGATATGATCGTCGATGCTGCGGAATATTGGCCTTCGATAGAGCAAAAAATGCAGACTCAGCGGACCATTCAGAAAGACTGTGATCAAGTTTTGCTAAAAACAGTTCCTCTCTGCTATGATCGGAATGTATATCTATCCGTTCTAGCGTTATTTGATGAGCCCGTGCTGATAATCCGTTTCTGTTAGAGCTTAGGGCAAGAACCGAGTCCTACCCCCTTACCTCATCGCGGGGCACACCCTTGTCGCAAGATAGTCTTCAATATCTCATCTCACGACCAAGGCGGCGGGCGACGCCGCGACAACATGTATGAGTTCTCATGGACTTGGTTTGACGTAGAAGTTATTCACGGCGCCCACACAAAGAACATGTATGTCAATGGAACCGAGCAAGAGATTCTTGACAATGAGCGTGGACAAGTCCGGAAACACTATACCGAAGCGGATGCGCTGCTTTTGCCCCGTGACAACAAATTGCAAGTCAATGGAGCCCACGTGAGCGATATGCAGCACAATAGAATTGTTTGGGACTATCGAGACGATATCCAGGCAGACTCCCCCGAGGCGTTTGAGATTGAGAAGAATTTGGGTCGTGGGCGGCTTACACTTGATGGACGTGGAGTGCGTGAGTTGGAGGTTGGCGATTCGATTGCCGTTTGGGCCCGGGCAAGATTTCCTGGCTGGTCAAACACCGTTTGTCGAGCGAGTGTGAGGATATACTGGGTTGTATGAGGGAACAGCGGTTGAACCAAGAACAACTACAGATCTGTAGATATGGACCTTGTCTGGTATTGGGTTTTCGACTTATACGAGTACTCAATGACCTGACAGAAGAGAAGAACATCTTATACCCCATCTTATCTTTTCAGATATATACTCCGTACCCCAGCCCTGGACGGTTGTACATTGTACATCGATATACTCCATACATATACTTGCTAAGCGCTGATTGGCTTTGAAGCCTAAAATCAATCACGCCATTCTGCCAAGACTGCCTGATCGACGCCAAAACAACACAATATAAAGCCAACCGCCTCCTCGAACTGCTTTCCTGAGTTTTTTTTCTTCTTTCGCTGATGCTAGTCATCATGCGGCCCAACCGTGGACTTGCGATATTTTCACCTATGCCATGAATATGATGTTCATCCCATGAGTACCTCCTCACATACTAACATGAATCGTGCCGACATCCTGCCGACGGGAAGCGCACAGTGGGTCTCAGTCGCCGATTGAAAGTCCCCGATGAGTCACCGAATGAGTCGCCGTCTCAAACTTCCCGCCAAATATGAAGCCAATTTTAGCTTGAAGATCCCCACATGCGGGACAAGATGCATTGGCCGATACGCGTCGATAGAACGCCGACCCATCTCGTACGAGAGCTACACATGTGTCATGGGATATTGGGAGGAAACCTTTGACTGGAAAATAATGAAGGTTCCCGCTCTATAGCGATGTCCTGACTGGACGCTGGTTGCGTTATCTGCATGAAGGTACTCGCGATCCAAACACTACGTACGCATTCCATCGCCGATGATGTCGTCCCCTGGGTCTTGGCCCCCTTTTAAACCCCGTCACAAACCCCGTCGTGATATCTATTGTCATTCTATTTATTTAGTTACTCAAATAAACGCCAGTTTACAACTCTTTCTCTTTCTACATTTTTCAATCGTTCCTATCGTTGCTTTCCTATTCTTGCTCCCATATTCCAATCACCACAACTCTCAACATGGCTACTCGGAAATGCGCGGCGGTCGTTGTAGGAGCTGGTCCAGCTGGAGTTGCCGTCATGGGAAACTTGTTGGAGCGTCAGCTCGGTACAATCACATGGATTGATCCTTCTTTTGAGGCCGGGAGAGTCCACAGCAAGTATCGCGAAGTTCCCAGGTTTGTGCCCGATCCCTCGCAACTAAACACAAGCCGCAAGATACTAACAAGATACCTCCAGCAACACCAAGGTCTCATTATTCCAAGCATTCGCAAAAGCCACACAACCTTTCCAGAAAGTGATCGATAACACAAAATCACCTAATGCATTCACCAAATTGGCCAAACTCGATCAAGAATCTACCTGCACCCTTGGCTTCGCAGCGGATATGGTTCGTAGCCTGACAGACGGTCTTATGAAGATGGAGGAAGTATATGCATGCCATGGCTTTGTCAAATCAGCCAACCTCAACGAAACGGTTAGTGATTTTGTTGCACATCTAATTCTCTATCACACAGGAAGACTAATTATGACATCATAATACAGACCTCCAACTGGACAGTTTGCATCAAACAGAATTCAAGCGAAGATCTTGAGACCGTTGAGACTACCCGCCTGATCCTCTGCACAGGCTCCTTCCCCACAACGGCCCCCATCCCCGTCCCGGGACTGGCCATCCACCGCTTGGACCTCGACGTGGTCCTCAAGCCCACCGAGCTAGCAGAAACAATCCCCTCAGACAGACCTATCTCCGTCGCCATCGTCGGCGCATCTCACAGCGCCATTCTCGCCATCCTAAACCTCACCAATCTCGCCCAAACCTCCCACCCTCTGCTACGCATTACGTGGTTCACCCGCCATCCCCTCCGCTACGCAGAGTATAAGGACGGCTGGATACTTCGCGACAACACCGGTCTCAAGGGCTTGGCTGCGGACTTTGCTCGCTCCGAGCTAGAAGACGAGAAGCTCGCTACTTCGCGCGCTGGCCAGGTGCTGACCAAGATTGACTGCGCCGGTGGCCAAGAGATCGAGTCTGCTCAGTACCACAAGTACTTGCCCGCATGTGACTATCTTGTCCAGGCGGTTGGGTATACCCGTACCTCGCTCCCTGAGCTCTCAAAAAACGGTGCGCCTCTTCTTATGAGCTTCGATCATGATAGTGGCACTTTCCACGAGCCCGGTCGTTCGTCCGTTATTCCTGGACTGTTCGGTGCCGGCATTGCGTTCCCTGAGCGTGTCGTGGACCCACATGGCAATCAGGAGTATGCGGTTGGGTTCTGGAAGTTCATGAAGTTCCTGAAACGGGTTGTCCCGTCGTGGGTTGCATGATTGTTTCGTCTCTTGCTTTGCTTTTGTGGATTTTATGTTTTTCTTGTCGTCCTACAGGATACCGATCACGGTGTCCGTGCATTGTCTAGCGGGCCATGGTTCCAACGTTTGATACCGATATTTACGGAGTAACTGGCGTTGTTCTAGGCGGTTTCGGGGTCTTTTTATATATAATTTTTATGGCTGCTCTGCAGGCTACAATTCAGAAGAGCATCGTTCTTTTCCCTTCAAATTGATCGCATTCGCAATGTCGTAGTCATCCATCACCAGTCGGCACACCATAATCCAAGTAGATTGAGTAATATCAGCAACACTGGGGGTGCGTGAGCTTGAATCGTGCATTCGCGTGTCCAAACTTCTAACACCCGAAGTATATTGATGCAACGGACGGGCAGATGGCTGAAAAGGGCCAACTTGTAGAGTTTTGGTCGTTGCATACTATATATGTCTAAGTTTGGTACAGTACGTCCCGAAACTGGTGCAACTGGCTACACTCTTCGAGTGATTATATAGCCAAGAGACAACAGACCATAGCAGGAATAGTCCCGGGATAATAATATTCCCGTACCAGTCTCGATACTGTGATTTACTTTTATTAAATACGGTGCTTCGTCTCGTAACTGTATTGGCGATCCAAGGGGAGCTAGAACTTCCATGAAAATGCAAATAAGTCAAACACGAGAGCTGGGTGTGTCGAGAATCTGGCGACCTATCACTTCCCTCCAGCTCCTAATGTCCAAATGACGGCGTGGCCTCGAAAACATAGTAAATGCGATATACTACAAAAACGTAATACAACAACCACCTTTCTATTTTCTTTGATTGTTTGTCAATAACTGTTAATAGGGCCTCTTAATATAGCTATATATTAATTTCAAAACAATCGAATCAAGGGATTGTTACGGTATCGAAAAATTATATTGGCAGGAACTAGAAGATATATATTTAATGTCTAATCTGCCGTCGGCTTTTACTTGGAACGCTTAAAGAATTTTGACTTGAACAGTGAATGTGACATTTCCATAGAAAGATAGATGTAGAAAGATCGATGTCAAGTGTGCACTGACCACAACTTTTTTTACCCGGGCTGCTCAACACCTTATATACATGATCGCCGTTTCCTTCAATTTATCACAAGATGATTCTGTGGCTAACAATTTTATCGCCCAAGTTCACCAGGACCGCGAGACTGTGAACAGCCCTACCGACATCTCACAAATTGCCCTTAATTAGCAGCCACCACCAAAAGCTTCATTACGGCAATCGCAGGAGTTAGGATAACACACAGCGCATGGGAAGCCGTATCCCGTACAATATTGGCTACACCCCTGCAAGGTGAAACCACCACAGGTAATCGCTAGCATTCCAGATTAGCTCGAATCAACATAAGGTGCCACGAAGCAAAGTCAGGCCGTACGGGTAGAAAGGGAAATACTGAGCTTATCACTACCCCCAGTTACACCAGGTTGAAACACGGTTGCGGCGGATGCAGACATGTCTTCTACCGGCTGATGAGCGGCAGCGAGGATGAAAGTGAAACCAGTAAGTATAAGGATATTCTTCATTTTGACAATATACGTATTATTGAAAGGTCTCAGAAGATTTGGATGTAGCAAGCCAATATGCCACTTGAGACTTTTCTTATTTCAATGTAATGTGCAAGCACCGGCTGGCTGGCACATTTTATAAGTATTCACATCAAGGGCATCACAATGTGATGGCACATCGATGTCATATTACAATGCCAATGACATGGGATACAGTTGCTCGAGTTTTTAATGTAAGTGTTTATGACGTTACTGTGATCCTCAGAGCTGTGATTGTAGAAGTTCCAGGCCTTAGTCCGTAAGATATTACTGCAGTCATGAAGCGTGTCCAAGAGGCTCTCTGTACAGTGTGGTGCGATATGAAGAGGCGAGGTTTGGGGCCATCTTTGGTTGGACCAATCGTGATAGACTGTTAAGTGCGCCTCCCGAGGAAAGCTGGGGGCATGGGAAACGTTCAGATATATTGAAATTACACGGGAATACATACTTGAAATTTATATGTAACATACGTACGAGGAAATATACACACAACTGCCGGAAGAACTCCCAATATAGACTAGCGTATCTTGCGTAGGGGGTTGCACCGGTTTTGGGACGTACTGTACTATGGCGGCCTAAGACATGAGCAAGCAAATTTTGCATCGAATTATTCGTCATCTGGATAGTCGATCCAGTCCAAGGTTATCTCCAGTTAGTCTAAAGTAGACATGCAACATATAAGTCGTCAACGCCACACACAATCCCATAACCCGGTCATATCACATCATGAAATACCATAGAAACATCAATTTTTCCTTCCCTTCACCTGCCAGCACAATCGACACATACTTTTATTCAACCACCAAGTTACAACATAACAACGGCAAAAACAGCAGCGACAACAGCGCCAAGGCCACCATTCCTCACAGCCCCAGCACCGCTATCGGCAGTCTGCGTCGCAAACGCTTCATCAGTACCGGTAGCCGTAGCACGGTATTCACTTTGACTAGCAACGGCCTTTCGGTCATACCCAGTGGCAGTAACGGTGTAAGTACTGGAAGCCTGGGACCAAGTGAGAACAGTACCGCTAGGAGGCGCCGTAACCGTACCGCCAACTTCGTACAGGGTCGAGGTGCCGTTGTTGGGGAAATCACCGGGCTTGTAGAACTTGTCCGCATCTGTGAAACCCAAGTCCTTGCACTTCGTATCCTGGAGCGTCGAGTCGCATGACGACCATGCCCAATTCGGCAGTGAGGTGTATAGATTGGGTAGATCGGAGGGGAAGAAGACTCCCCACATGTCCGCGCCGGCGAGAGTGGGTTGGGTATGGGGGCAGACATCCCAGGATCTGTGGATCGGGGGTTAGTTAGTGGATTCAAACAAAAAAAGTTGCGGTTTGGTGTGCTTCACTTACGCGGAGATACTAGCGCTGGCTCCGCAGCAGGCACAGTCCGAGGCGCGGTTGGCAATGTCGAGACCGTTGTTTAGGTTCGACAGGTCTGGTATGTTGCCGATGTCTCCAGTGATCTTGTCGGTGACATCGCGCATACATTTGATTTGCTGGTTACGCGATGATAGGGTTGTTTGGGTGACCTTGCCTAGATCGCAGGAGCAGCGGTTCGGCGCGTTATCTGGGGCTGGCCAGAAGGGGATTGGCTCTTTGGCGCTGGGACAAATGGCGAAGTACTGCTGCACGAAGAGCTGGTATTTGCAGGAGTAGACCTGAGGAGGAAGGGATGGTTAGTATTGGTTTATGATAAATCGTTAATTTGGATGTTCCTTGGAATCAATGGGTATATAAAAATCATACCTGGTTCCAGCATGACTCCGCCATACAGTTGATATACTGCTGGTGGGAGTCGCAGCCACAGTCCACGATACAGTTACCATTGCCGTTACAGCCTCGGATGCAGGAGCTCCACTTGTCCGCGACATCCCTGTTGCACTTCGAGTACTCAGATGTGGAGGCGCAGTCTTTTTCAGTGATGTTTGTCTGGGCAGTGGCCAGGCCAGACAGCGCCACGACGGTCGCAGCCGACGCAAGAAGGAATTTGGATAACATAGTAGATCCTGTTATCGTTTGATAGGACTTGACCAAAAATTGTTATATCCGAAAAATGGTTCACTGTTCTGACTTGAGCTTTCAATGGCACTACTGAGCAAGCAGGAACCCCCCAATCCCTGGGGTGGATGCAACAGAACCTTTATAAGAAGCGAATTATGCAGCACAGCCCAGATTCGTTCAACACAAAATCTCTTCATGGGATCTCGGATCCTCGGGCCCATCAATGGGCCCTGCTGCAAGTTAGGGGTTCAATCATTGTAAACCCAGCTGTCATGTCATCGTTCTCAGCAACCAACCAATGACGGATGGCATAGCGCACTAATGTGACACAAAAGAGTAAGCTGGGCCATTCATATTTCAAAGGAAAGTGGATGACGAAGACCCCGGTTTCTGCATGTCTTCTGCATCTATTGCATATAGGCAATCACATTTTCTTTGACGAAGGGCATTAGCGATTGATAGATCAGAGATCAAATCCAGAATCCGCCCTATGAATTGATCAGATGGGACTGTATGTTTCGGGATTTCTAGCAAAGCCCTGCATAAAGCTAGGAGCCTTGCTTCCTTTGCAGACACGAGGTGGAGCGGAGTGTTCCTACGATGATAGATTTGTGAAGACCCTTGCTTCGAATCGAGCTTTTGATGACGATATCAGGGTACTATTATTAACTCTGGACCTGAGCGCTGTAGTTATTTTGCTTTGGGGGCTTCCATGTTGTTCATGCGGTGTGTCAAGAGATATGCATTGGATTGATGTCTTTTTGATGCCAGGGTTGGGTTTTCATATCGCAGGTGCCTAGCATCCATAACCCAAACCCTAGAAAGTACGGGGCAGACCCTCTAAATCTTGGAAATACATGATATGGTAGTCCAAATAACAACGACACCGGCCACGAAGACCTGAAACGTCAAGTCGTTCAACAGATTGAGATTTCATCGTAGAGGGGACCTGGCACCTGGTGCATGTGTGTGTGGTCACGAGTCAGGTACAGGGCCAAGTCGGAAAGCCAAGACTTGGTCAAGATATTTTGTATCATAATGACTATGTCTGAGAATGGAGTTCTATGTAGCTATGAAGGTACATGCATATGGTGTTCATGTCATGTACATACATAATGAACCTTGCCAGTACGTCGTATACGAGCTTGCTCCCATTCCCATAATCGAGGTACACGCGGAGATCGACCTGGGACTTGAATATAGGTAAAATCCCAAAGTTAGGAAAAAAAAAAATACAATAGAATTCCATTCCAAAATCAAAGTTGTTACTAGTCGAAACTAGTTAAAAAAGAAGAAGACGAAGCAGAATGTAACCTCTCAAAATTGTACTTATCAAACGTCAAACCCCCTCATCCCTCCAATGCTGTGGGGAAGAGAAAATCCTTACTACACAGGGAAATTTGCTTGGTGTGTCCAAGACTTATGGCCTTCTCCACCGGTCGATCATTATTTATTTACTTCGTATGGAGTACTTTAGTTAGAGAGGCCCCCTTACTGTGATGAGAGGCATTTAGTCAGAATAAATAACATTCAATCTCTGTAAAGTGTAATAGTCTCATCCTAGTCACTTAATGTAAGAGATTTTGTATTTAAGGGCCCTTGAAGAGCAATAATTTAGCGAGATTAGACTACAATTAAAAAAGTGGACGCAGGACGATCCGAATAAATTACCTCCCCCACTGGCCATTTTGACAGATTTGTTCGAATTAATATATGAAATCAGACAGAGTATACAACATACAAGTATAGGAATTAGATTGTAGGGAAGTATACAGTCATTAACGCTGGCCACACAAATAGTATAAGAATCAAATAATAACAAAGCCACAATCCCGACCGTAGTCAAAAGAACGGGATGTTTTGTACAACTGCACCCTAAAAGAAGGAACAGAGGCAATAAGACAAATTAATTGGCTGTTTCAAGATACAGCCAATCAGAGAAGCGAAGAGAGAAAAAAAATATGTATATCAATAAAGCATGTCAACGTGACTTTCGAAGGTCTCGTTGGTGACAACATCTGTATGCACAGTAATTTACAGCATCAGAGCACCGGCAACGATGGCAAGCATGCCACCGGAGACACGGTTGGCGATACCAGCGTTGGTGGTGGGCACGGCGCTCTGGGAAGCAGCCGAGGAGCTGGCGCTGGTCGAGGTGGACTCGGCAGTGCTGGAGCTCTCAGAGGTAGTGGCAGAGGCAGAGGTGCTAGCGACAGTGCTGGAAGCAGTGGTCAAGGTGGTGGAACCGCTGGTGGTGGCGGAAGAGCTCGAGGCCGAGGTTTCCGAAGTGCTAGTGCCGGTGCTGGTACGAGTAGCGGAAGTAGATGACTCGGTGGAGGACTCGGTAGAAGTGGATGTGGCGGTCGAGCTGGCACTGGAAGAAGAGACAGAGACGGTGGCACCCTCGACGGTGAAACGACCGATGTAGTTGTAGTCATTGCTATCCTCGTCCGAGACGATCTTAATGGTGTAGTCGGGCTCGGCGGCGAGCTTGGAAGGCACATTCCATGTGTAGCTGCCGTCATTGGCGATGTTGGCTGGGGCCGTTAGTATCTTATCGGGGGAATATTGAGTCATTTGGGCGTAAGGCTTACAGGCAATGACAGTGCCGCTGTTACCGTTGAGCACGGCTCCCCACTGCAGGATCAAGCTAATAGTGCCGGTGGTGGTAGGCTCCCATTTCAGGGCAGTAGCCTCGCCAGTCGTGAAGGTGTAACCATCGGTGGGAATGCTAAAGGGGTTAGCCTTGCTGTTCGCCGAGACGACGGCGGCCATGGCGGCGATAGCGAGGGAGGTAAAGAAGCGCATTATGGCTAGTATTTATATATATATATATATAAACGGTTGGGAATAACGATAGAATGTCCAAGTGAGAGATTCGGATTAAAAGAGTGAAATCACAAAAGCTTCAAAAGGAGTGGAAGGCGTGTAAAGAGGCAAAACTGGAAGAAAAGGCCGGACATCCGGGATCTCTTTAGCGTTCGCTTTATAACCAAGAGGGCATGTGCCCCATGGATAAGGAGCTAGGCACAGCCCGGCAAAGTCAAAGGGACGAGGAAAAACAAATACAAAGGAAGCAAGGCAAGTGATTGGCCCTTGTACATCCCAGAGAGGGCCCGCGAGGGTCCAAAAGAGGGAAAAAGGAAATGTCGAAAGCGTGGCGGTGATCCACGAGTTCTTTGGACCACTAACGGGTGTCGTTGTCTCGCTTGGCAGGGAATGGCCTCTTTTGACTGGTTTGAACTGGACGTGACCTTAAATGACTATACCCACTTCGGTCGGCTATAGTCACTTCGACCCGGAGATAACTTGCTATTTTAGAGATAATCCGAGATTTTACCGTTTGGGAAGATAATTTTAGATTATTTGGCCAAAAAGTAAGGATTAAAAGAATTCGACATTGTAAATACGGATATGGTTGAACATGAATTTTGTATTTTGTATTTATTTTTTTTCCTCTTTGTCGCGTACTATCGGAGCCACGCGATTTTTGAGGTTCGGTTATTCGTACAAGTTGGAAATCAGGCCAGAGCCCCCCTACGCCTCCGAGCTATGACCTTTTTTTCCCTCACTTCCTTGCTGAATGTTTTTCGTAGTTCGTCCAGTTCTGACGCTAATTCATTGGGGTATCATGTGGGGCAACCTTGGAAGTCCTCCTCAATCCAACATATTGTTCTGACCTAGCCAGGCGATCACTTCCATTGCCCGGCGGTCATCGTCTTGCCTCTGTCGGTCCAGCAACTAATCCATGTCAGTACAATTTCAATAGCAGCCGCAAAATCAATAAAATGGGGCACTCACAGCTTGATAAAGTCCCTTGCGTTTCGTCTCTTTCTCCTTCTTTTCAATAGGCTTTGCCTTCGCCTTCGAGGTTCGCTCAGAGTCGTTTTCATGAAGGAATTTACACTGGTCACCACGGTTACAGTGCCCATTACGTGCAAAATAACGGCAAACTGTCTTTTTGCCTTCGCGGGGTGGGGGCGGCACTCGCTCTGGTCCCGTGCGACGTGAAGTAGCCTGCTCTGGCGCGGAGCCTTCACTGCCAGAGTCGGACTCGGAATCTGAGCCAGATGCACTTGAGGAGGTCCAATCACTGGCCCCATGATCAGATGCGAGCTCCATGCCATCCAGGCCATGGTCGTTGGGGTGCTCAGTCTTGATTGTGTGCTCGGGGTTGGAGGACTCGGGTAAGACCGCAGGCTCTCCCTGCGTCTCTGTCGCGTGGGAAGCGGGGACGGCTGATTGCGCCGGCTCTGGAACTGGGTCATAACACTCGGTTTTTACTGTTGCCTCTGGCACCGTAGTTTCGGGTTCGGTCTTAATGGCTGGCTCCGGTACCGCATTTTCGGGTTCGGTTTTGAGGGCTGGCTCTGAGTCTGGTACTGCGTTTGCAGGTTCGGCTTTGATAACTGGGGCTGGGGCAAGGTCTTGATGCCTGGGTGTGATACCCGTATCTTCGTCTTGAGAGTCTGCATTTAGACTCAAGGCCTCCTTCTGTAGAGCTTCCATTCGAAGACGAGCAGCCTCGGTCTCGGCCATAGCTTTTTGAATACGTCTCTCCTCTCGTTCAAGGTTGCGCCGAATCGTCTCCCTGCGCTGCGCGTTTGTCGTTGCATCTGCAGCAGCATCTGTCTTGTGTTCGTTTTGCTTTTGGATATGCTCTTTGCGCTTTTCTTGCTGCTCTTTTTGCTTTTGTTGACGGGTTGCCTCACGAGCTGCCTTTGCTTCCTCCATCGACTTCTTCTTTTCTTCAACCCGAGCTTGAGTGGGGAACTTCTTCTTCCGCTCTGCAATCCAAGCGGCGATATCGGACGGTGTTTGCAACGTAGACGTTTTTCCTTTGTATGAGACCTGAAGTGGTGTTGAGCCTGATCCACCTTGCGCCAGCTTCGATTCTTCGTCTTCATCAGCCTCTTCTTCGCTTGACTCGTGGTCTTCGGTATTAGGGGTCAGTCCAAGTTGGTTGTGCTTCCTTTTTCTTTTCTTTGCCTTTCTGTTGGATGTGGAGTCTGCGGCGGGTGGTGGCTTTGAGGGTAGAGGGTTACCGAAGCTTGGGACAGCAGGCGCCGCGGGAGTTCGAGGGGCAGTTGATTGAGGTTTATTAAATGCGGATGAGTGGTCCCGCTTCTGATTATGTTTGGGTTTCGGACCCTGATTGCCATGCGCATGAGGTCGTGGCCCTCGTGCTTGCCCGGGTTGAGGCCCCATGTATGGCGCCGCGCCTTGCATCTCATTACGCCATTGCATTGGGGGCATCATTGCTTGATTGTTTGGTTGATGGACATGGGGAGGTGCTGGTAAGCCTTGTATGTACGTCGGAGTTGTGGGAGGGTAAGGTGTGGAAAGGTTGGGCGTATTGTAGTGTTGATAGTTACCCGGAGCTACCGACTGGGGATATTGTTGAGATGGGAACGAAGTTGGATTTTGAGAATTCTGAAAGGCCGGCGTTTGTCCATGATGGTAGGGTTGGGGAGGCATATAAGGTGCAGTGGGAAGAGGCTGAGGGTATCCGCCATACATTGGTTGCGCGTAGTTGAAACCTGCAGGGGGAAGATATGATGGCGGTCGTCCACTTTCTGCATGATTTCCTCCTCTAGCTCGGTTGCCCTGTCCTCTTCCACGTCCCCTCTGACCTCCGCCATGTCCACCGCGTCCACCCCAGTTCTGCCCATGTTGAGTCGAGTGAGCCGGCGCCTGGTTAGTTACTGGCGGCGGAGGCGGCGGAGGTGGGAAAGAAAATCCCTGCGAGCTCATGACGAGAGCCTTTAGCTTTGCTGGAGACTCCAGCACAAACACAAGAAAAATCTCGTAAACTTAGCGTATTAGCGTTGTCAAGGTTGAGATTGAAAGCTTCCGTTCCGGGGTCACGTGCGGCGGGATTCTAGGCGGAGCACGAAGAATCTCAAGAAGGGTTTTTGATTGCTTCACGGGCAATGGTAAAACAGGAAAAGATATTTGCACCTATTCACTTCGTCACTGCCTAATCAGATCACACTCCTGGTTGCACCTTCCCCAACGTCGCCATGTTTATCCTAGTAAGTTCAAAACGCCCATATATATAAAAAAAAACTTTTTCTAACGCTACCAGACCACCATATCGGACTTGATTCAGATCTCGCCCGAGGATTTCTCCAAGTTCAGTGCAGTTGCACTTGAAGACAACATCAATGCAAAATACGCCAATAAAGTGCGCTATTCAAACCTCTTCATTTTGCGTTCTTAATGCTTATTCTGTCCTTCAGGTCATTCAAAAAATTGGCCTTTGCATCAGCTTCTATGATCTACTTGAATCTTCTGATGGCTTGATTGGCCACGGAACAGGCTTGGTTAATGTCAACGGTAGATGATCACAGCCCTTTCTTGAGTCTGAGATCTTTATTGACCATTACACAGTAAAATTCCGCATGATTGTCTTCCGACCCTTCAAAGGGGAGATCATGCTGGGGAAGATTTCTAGTGGCACAGAACACGGAATTAAGAGTGCGTTTCCCAATACGAAAACTCTGTGCATGTCAAAAGCTAACAAATTTCAGTTGGCCTTGAATTCTTCAATGATATTCTCATCCCTCCCCAAATGCTGATGGAAAAGTCCCGATTGTGAGCTGGTCCTCGCCTCATGTCAAATCTGAAATGCTAATTTGTCTTGCAGTGATTATGCTGAGCAGGTATGGATCTGGGAGAGTGAAGGGGGAACAGAATTCTTCTTCGATGTAGGAGAAGTTGTGCGATTCCGAGTCGAATCAGAAGAGTGGCACGATCAAATCCCCAATGCACCAGATGTTGCAGATGAAACTCCACAGGAGAGGCGCCCTCCGTATTCTATTCTTGTTGGTCTCTTTATATCAATCTTGTTAACTCTCACTGACCATTTTCTAGGGCTCGATGCAAATGGGCGGAACTGGACCCATCACTTGGTGGTAGGCTGCTACGGACATACTACCATTTGATGTCACATTAGACTGTCTTCTTGTTGGCCTATCGTGGCCCGTTCTCAGCGCCGATACAATTTCTTTTAGAGTCAGACCAGATACCCATACGAATCAATGCCAATGAATATAGAGATAATTGAGTGACCATGTTGTAATGCGCGTCAACTGACGGTGTCAAACTGCTTAATAGAAGACACACCTAAGCAACAAACTAATCTAAATTTAATGTAAATAAGCCCCCGCATTTACCCTTTTCCTCGAAAGATAACGGACGTAAGATACGAGGTCTAAAGCCAAGTGTATAACTATAGTCCGTATAGTATCACCAACTTGGGAGATCTGCACTGCGGCAAGTTCCGAACACTCCGATACTCCGAGTCATCGGAGTGTCTCAATGATTCTCCGACTAGAATTGCCGGCTGCCGGTGGAGTTCCGTCGGTCTCTCGTCCAGTCGCAATCGCGCGATCCACCGTCATCTGCGCCCCAGAGGTTGGTAGTATGTAAAAGATTCTCTTGACGAATTTTTCTTTTTCGGTTGAATTTTTCAGCACGAAAACATCCAAAAGCAGACATTGAAACTCTTTTTCGCCATCTCCCTTGATTATCAATCAGATTCGCAATCCGAGTCTCATTCCGGTTTCAGACAATCAAGTCATACAAAGAAGCGGTGATCTCATCTTATCGATAAACATATAACCTACCCCTCGCCTCTCTCAATTGCCCTAAAATCATCTTCTCTTTATTCACAATGGGCTCCATGGAAAACGGACACACTGACCGCGGCTTTGGGACACTGGCTGTCCACGCTGGCTCGCCCCATGACCCAGTGACCGGCGCTGTTATTGCCCCGGTAAGCTTATCAATCTAGGGATAATACAAAGACAGTACTAACAATGCCTTGACTAGATCTCTCTGTCGACCACATATGCTCAGACCAGTGTCGGAAACCCCGTTGGTCTGTATGAGTACACACGGAGCTCCAACCCCAACCGGTTAGTTTATTAGTCCAGAAGTTGGGCATATTGATTAGGTGGACTAACAAACTCCCCCGCAGTGACAACTTCGAGCAAGCCGTTGCCGCTCTTGAGCACGCCAAGTACGCTCTTGCATTCTCTTCCGGCTCCGCCGCTACTGCCAATATCCTCCAATCCCTTGCTGCTGGCTCGCACGTCGTTTCGGTTTCCGATGTTTACGGTGGTACCCACCGATACTTCACCAAGGTTGCTTCGGCGCACGGTGTGCAGGTCACCTTCACCCCTTCTATTGAGGTGGATGTGGAGCAATTGATCCGCCCCGAGACTAAGCTCATTTGGATTGAGACCCCCTCCAACCCGACTCTTGGTTTGGTGGATATCCGGGCTGTTGCCAACATTGCCCACCAGCACGGTATCCAGGTCGTTGTCGATAACACTTTCATGAGCCCCTACGTCCAGAACCCATTGGACCACGGTGCCGATATTGTTGTTCACTCCGTGACCAAGTACATTAATGGCCACTCCGTGAGTTCTTACTTTCAATCTAGCTTTTAGCAGCATTTAGCTAATTCCAACTTAGGATGTCCTGATGGGCGTGGCTGCTTTCAGCTCTGAGGCCCTCAAGGAGCGCCTTGGCTTCCTCCAGAACGCTATCGGTGCCGTCCCCTCTGCATTTGACTGCTGGCTCGCTCACCGCGGTCTGAAGACCCTGCACCTGCGCGCGCGAGGCTTCCAAGAATGCCACTGTCATCGCTAAGGCCCTTGAGTCCTCTCCTCATGTCATTTCCGTCAACTACCCCGGCATTGACTCCCACCCCCAGCGTGCTATTGCCCTCAAGCAGCACCGTGATGGTATGGGCGGTGGTATGCTCAGCTTCCGCATTAAGGGTGGCCAGAAGGCTGCACACGATTTCTGCAAGTTTACTAAGGTTTTCACCCTCGCCGAGAGTCTCGGAGGTGTTGAGAGTCTGTGCGAGGTGCCCTCCAGCATGACCCACGCTGGCATCCCCAAGGAACAGCGCGAGGCCGCCGGTGTCTTCGATGACCTTGTGCGCATGAGCTGTGGTATTGAGGACTCTGCGGATCTCCACGCTGATGTGATGCAGGCTCTCAGCCTGGCTGCTGTGGCCCAGAAGGCTTAAACACAGCTCGCTCTTCACAGCATGTCTTCTGTTTGCATTTAAATATTAGAATAGACAGCGTCAGTTTCTAATCACTTGGATATGACATTACGAACTATAGAATCAACAACTCATACATTTACTATTATTACTACCGGACCCTAAGACTTTTAAAATAGTGTTTCAATCAATCATCGAAGTTGTATACTTATATTTTGCCTGAGGCAGACGTCCGCTTAGTCATCATCATACCCACTGCAATTTTTTGTATGGAGATCAGATCACAGCGCTGAAGAGAAAGCGTTGGAACCGAATTACTGTTTAATCAGTTGGCTCTTGCATTCAAATATACAGTTTTTGTTCAGACTAGCACAAATTGTCGGCAACTTGCAATTCCGAGAAATTCTCATCATCTGCAACATCAGGGTCACTTCAGGCAACCCACCTACACAGTATTAGGTGTCTTGGAAGAGGAGACAGTCATCTTATCCAATTGAAAATGGCCTTCAGCTTCGGATTCTCGGGGGATGATATCGACATTGATGACTCGGAGATCAATAATGATTTCTCCGATGTGCCCTCCCAGCAAGTCGTGGGCAATTCTCTTCCTGAGCTTGTGAAAGCGGTTAAACATGATATGAATGAATGGGTAAGTGATCAAGCAAGATATTTCATTTTCAATTATGCGTATTACGCTATTGCTTTTATTATAAATGTTTTGAGCTGGCAAGTATATTTTAAATCCCAATTCGGGCATATGAGATACTGCCCTCTATCGACAAAAGCATGGAAGCATGAATTCATTACTTTGGAATGCATGATACTCGTTCAAGAGAGCCTTAAACTAACCAACATGACAGCTCTCAATTCTTCCCTCTCAAATCTTCTACAATAAGCTCGCAATCAGCGATACGTCTCTGGCCGTCGCTCGTCGAGAGATCTTTGACATTCGCACCCAGCTCATGGCTGAAGATAGCGCAGGTCACGATAATGAAGAACTTATTGCCGGCATCGAAAAGGGTGACATCACGCCCAATTTCTATGAAGGCGGCTTCAAAACCTGGGAATGTGCCTTGGATCTAGCCAAGCTCTCCCTCAACGAGGACATTCTTAATGAATCCCCCGATACCCCCGCGGACATTCATATAATTGAGGTTCGTAATTATCCGTCTTGCGGAAGCTTTCCCCAACATCTACCTGGAGCGAGGGCTAATATAAATGAACAGCTTGGCGCAGGCACAGCAGTCCCATCATTGACGCTGTTCGCCCGTCTTTTCAGCCAAGCCGAGCCCGGCCAGAGCCAAAGAAAGACACTCTTCACTTTTGCAGACTACAACTCGGACGTGCTCCGTCTTGTCACGCTCCCCAATCTTCTTCTGACATGGCAGAATAGCCGCTCCCAAATGGCTGTCTCAGCCGCCTCAACTGCGCCAGACCAGGACGAGGAGTTGGATATCACGCCCGAGCTGGTTCAAGAATTCAAAGATGATCTTGCTCAGCGTGGGATCTCGGTTGATTTCGTTTCAGGGGCTTGGTCGCCCGAGTTTGTGGATCTGGTCTTCTCGTCCGGTGATAGCGCTCGCAAGACTCTGGTTCTTGCCAGTGAGACCATTTACTCGCCCGCATCGCTGGCGGCGTTTTCCGAGACACTTTTGGCGTTACTGCGCCGCTCGAACACCGTGTCGGCGAAAAGTCGGGCTCTTGTCGCGGCGAAGAAGGTTTATTTCGGAGTTGGTGGTGGTGTTGATGAATTCCTTGCTGTATTGGGTAATGTCTGTGCCAATGAGCTGGATGTGCAGCAGAAACTGAACGTCCAATCTGAGGGTGTGGGCAGAGTAGTTTTGGAGGTTGTGCCATCAAGTGGGCCCTAGAGTAAATCCGATAATAAAATGAATATCCAATCTCAGCATTCAACGAGTATTCAGCGACGATCTAGGAGTTAGGTTCAAAAACAAAAGAAAATCCAATTATCAGGTGCTGGATTGAACGTCAAGTCCCAACGTATATGTACATGATTTTTCCTCCACACATGTCTAGTCGACCAAAGAAAAAAAAAAGATAACCCCATTTACTCGTAGATCGAGACAACCTTGCCGTCCTTCATCCGCGCAACCCGAGCCTCCTCGGCCTCCTGGTTCTTGCGCTGGTAGTGAGCCACGACATGGCTCAGGTCGGCCTGCGAACCGGGCGAAACGTTGTATGGGGAGCCGGAGTTCATCATACTAGACGAAAGGGAAAAAAGGTACAATTAGCATAACAAGAAAGAAAAGCATTTCCGGAGCAACCAGGTGACATACTCGGGCTGTCTGAGGCTAAACGCCTCGGCTGGGCCTTGACTGCCGAGCAAGTGGCGGTCAGCAGCAACCTTCTCCATGATAGCGGTGTGGATAGCGTTGCGTTGCTCGAAGACCTCCTGGGAAGGAGTCCACTTCTCGATGAGGCTGGAGATCCAAGAGGGCGAGCCGGATTCCTCGTTTGACTTGCTAACGTGGTAGAGGATGAAGGCGGAGGCGACGGAGCCACAGGTGACGTAGAAGCTGCGCTGTTAAGTGGACATGAAGGGTTAGCCAGGTTGTCGTGGGCCATTGAGACATTTCTTGCCCTGCTTCCAGACTCGGGTCTGGTTGCGGTCGGCGGGGGAAGAGGAGCTTACGCCGAAGCTTTCGTTCACGGGCTCGTGGGCGGCATGGGAGCCCCAGCGGCGCTGGGTACGCAGCAGTTGCCGCGTCGAAAGAGCAGATCGTCTGGCAGCGAACATTGTGTGGAGGGAAGCAATTGGTGATGATCGATGACCCTTTGGGGAGCGATGATAGGGCGAGATGGAAAGTGAAAGTCGATGGCACGTGATGTCCGTATTGAGTTTAGGTAATCTTCTATTCTGGTAGAGCGTTAGACAACATCTCGAGGTATTAATTAGTTAGTTAACTAGTTATAACTATAACTAGTTAGTTATTAGTTACTACATGTAATCTATTATCACATATTGTATGGAATGATAGTTGGATAGAATTGTTGTTGTTTTTTGGAACTAAAATAGATGTGATATTTTCGTTCTCATATATCTTTTGGAGATTCGAGGGTTAAACCCACGCAAATATTTAGTATCACACTGCACGACTCCTAATTAATAACGACTGTAGTACTACCCTGCACAATGTACAGTGTACAATGTACAGATAAAAATAAAATTCCAAAATTAAAGTGCAGCCCGATCTACTTGGCATACAAAGTACGGAGTACGGAGTAGACAATCATATTATGTCCAATATACTGACATGTTAGAAACCTCATCTAGTAATTTATGTGTTGTCCGATACCAGCCTCACTATTTATCAAGGCTAACCACACTAATTGGGTGAGATACGTCCTTTTGATATATCGCCTCGTTTTAATTCCCACATATTATTAGTGCCTGGCTCTCAATTGAACATGTCAGTCAAGTTTCCCCACTAATGCCTTGAATCGCCCGAACCCACAGTTTGATGCCCAATGTCATGGCGTCTCCCAACTGGTCTCGCTTCGGTTCAGAATGGAAGATGGGTGGATTCGGATCTTCTTTGTGCCCACGATCATTCGATACTTTTTGGTGCTCGCGTCTAATTGATGGCCCTCTCGCACATTGGGGGGTGTGGATGGGTATCAACACGCTAAGGGTCGGTCCGCTATTGTGCCCAGACAACGTTGGGATACTAATTTTTGAGAGATATTTTTTGAAATTCTTTCGGGTTCAGCTTTTTCTTTCCTTTTTTAATTTCCTAAGTCATTTGGTCTTATCCCAAAAATATCTACATTGTTTTCGTGGATCTTCATTCGTGCCCACTCTCCCAGTCAAACAGAGAGGTTTCAAGTCTCTGCCCGATCAAAGTCACTTCGGCTTACGCTTTCTAAATATTTCAAAGTCTTAATACTTCTCAACTACAGTCAACTTTTGGGCTATATCTTGAGGCATCGCCACAGGGCTGGTTGCAAATGTACAGTGCAGTCATCCCCATATGATCGGAACTATCACTCATGCTCCATTTAGTACATTGATCCTATTGGTAACACGTCTCTCAGAGGCAAGAAGTCTTGGGCACGCATCACTCTACCGCAATGGCCGCGGGCAGCAAGAAGTCTAAGGCCAAGGACAAGAATGGCAAGGCATCCACCAAGAAGGTTAAGAAGGGGAAGAGCCCAGAGGTCACAGAGACTCAGACAACCACGACAACTCCTGCTCCTGGCAGCCCTGAACTCACGGCGCAGGAACCAGAGCAAGTAAAAGACGAACCTGCTGTTGACAATACAGATATCGAAGTAAAGACACCACTTCCTGTATCAGCATACGAGGTATTCGACGACGACGCTACACCTCAAGACAGTTCCAACCCTGTCGCAGAACAAGAAACACCTGTACTTGACAACCCCGTATCAGCATACGAGGTATTTGACGACGAGGCTACACCTCAAGACAGCTCCAACCCTGTCACAGAACAAGAAACACCTGTCCTCGACAACCCTGTATCAGCATCCGACATACCTGACGACAACACTACACCCCAAGCCGTCCCCGACCCTGTCGCGGATCCAAAATCACCTGTACTCGAAACCCCCGTATCATCATACGAGGTGTTTGACCACGAAACTGCACCCCAAGATATCCCCGACCCCGTCGTGGATCAATCATCACCTGTAGTCGACAAGCCTGTTGACGAAGCACTGCCCTTGGACGAGCCAAGCTCGACTCAGCCTCCAATTGAGGACTCTGAAATCAAAGAGCCGCCTGTGGAAGAAGCGAGCTCGACTCAGCCTCCCATTGAGGACACTGAGATTAAAGAGCCGCCCGTGGAAGAAGCAAGTCCGGTTCAGCCTCCTATCGAGGACTCTGAAGCAAAGGAACCATTGGATGACCATACCAACCAAGATCAACCCAGTCAAGTCGAACACTCTGAAGATAAGACTGTAGTCTCATCACCGCCGGCTGATCCATTCTCCCCTGTGGCCGCATGTGTGCCCTTGCCTTCACCATCCTTAACTGAAGCACG